GGTAAAACTAATAAAGTCAGTCTGATTATAATTTTTACTTCCTAATTCATCAAGTTTAAATGATTATAAGAGAGTTGCTCAGAGGAGCTCCAGTTTTATAAATACAGGTTTGTAATATATATATTTTTTTGTATTTATTTCTATTCCTTAATAACGTCCAGGCAACAAATTTATGTTGTTTTTTTATTTTTCGATGGAAAGCCTTAAATGCCTAAGAATTAAATGCTTTTTTTAAAAATAATAAATTATTTTACATTTTAATTTTGGACAAACTGCTTAACCGTTGACTAAGAGAGGTACTCATGGTAAGAAAAAATGCCCAAAGGGGTACACAAGTCAAAAGAGTTTGGGAACCACTGGTCTACAGGATGCACAGAGCTTGGAATATTAATCTCCCTTTGCTTTCAGGCTTTTGTTGTGCTCCTTAGCCTTCTACATGCTTTCCTCACTAATGTTCTGAACCTTCATAGAGTAGCTGTAATCCTCCTGGGATTAAACTGCACTTACAGTGAACTGTATGCTAATAAACATCAGGACCAGAATAAAGTTTATTGCCAAGTAGGTTTGCACTTACAAGGAATTTGACTTGGTGTTGATGGCCTCAGCTTTCAGAATTATATCTGAAATTATTTGAAAAGAATTCATCATTTTCTCTTCACTTCACATTTGACATTATGCTGGTGTATTCCATTAAATCCTAAATATGTAGCAATATGTGAAAGGTTTCCAGGGGTATAAATGCCTTTACAAGGCTCTGCACACTATCAGGTATCTCAATCTGGCAAAGGTATGTAGAGCTGTAGTTTCATACTGTGTTAATTGTAATTAACAGCTGTGTCTGCGTGTGACTAATACTCCCACGTCTGAACTTTACTTCTCTACGCGAGTCATTTGTTAAATGAGCAGCACTAAATGACAGATGCTAGGCTAAGCCAACTCACTGCTGGTGTCAAAGGAATATTCTACTCTTTCCTACAGTGGCTGGTTTCATGTTTTAGATGACAATCCTTCCTCTGGTTATATAGGTAAGGGTTATTCTAAATAAAAACATAAAGGAGACAGTGGTTAAATTTATTATCCCCCATTCACAGCATGTCCACTCATAAAATAGGCCCTACGTCCATAGTGGTCAGCTAAGATAGCGACCAATCACGATGGATTGACAAAAAAAAACCCTGATCTGATAACTTAAGATTGGTTTGGGACGTCCACAAATACCCTTAACCCAAAAGGGCTTTTTTAATGCCTGCTCCAATCTGTCTGTATGATAACTAATCTGTCTTTAAAAATTGATTCATTTGTCTCAGTAAAGTGCTTTGGTATAACATTTCTTGTGAATTGGTGCTATATAAATAAACTGAACTGAACTGTATCATGTTGGTCTGACTATATCCTATATATATAAAATTATATTTTGACCAAGCTTTTTTCAGGAAGGTATGGTTAAGTAGAAACTAGGGCTGAAACAAAAAATCCGATTAATTGATTATTCAAATTATCATCGCCTAATTGAAAAATCGATTAATCGGAGTATAGAGACTGGAAAACATGCCTTTAAGCTCACAGAGCGGCCCACTTAGAGCAGCAATTATAACAACATTGTAGAATAAATATATAAACATTTTGCATTTAAGATTTTAAAAAAACGTTTTCGTCTGTCAATATGCTCTATCCAGAACTCCTGAAGGGGAAAATTTTTTGTTTCACCAGATTTAATTTCTGAAAAAATTTTCTTTAAGGAACCTTTTATTATCCGATTATTAATCCATTCATCGAAAAAATAATCAACAGATTAATTGATTTGCAAAATAATTGTTAGTTGCAGTCCTATTAGAAACATATCGAAATACAAAGTTAATCGTTCTCTAACATTTAAATGGGTGCTACAAGGTAACAATGTGCAACAGTTTGTGAAAAACTGGTACATTTTAGCGGCGATGAATAATACTATTTTTATTTGTATAATATTGGGCGATATATGTTGTGATAAACATAAAGGTGAAGCAAATGATTCATCATCCTTATCTGAAATGTATGATTACTTCTGCCAAGGAGGTTTTGTTTTAAGGTCGTTTTTTGTGGTTGGTAATGTTTGTTTGAAAGTTATGAACAGACTTTTTAAATTTCTACCACAGATGTGTCTCTTCCTAGGAACAATCCTTATGATTTTGATTGTGATACAGATCATAATCAGGATGCAGAATTTTTTAAAGCATTCTTTAAAATTTTTAATAGGGATATTTGGTGGAACAAGACAACTTCAGCGTCAGAGTCAAAAAATACTAGAATTACACTGAAGACAAAAATACAAATAAAACAAAAGAGAGCCATTCCTTGTTGATATCTTGATTTGCCAATTAAAGCAGAGCGAATAAAGAAGGTGAGAGCAGAACAGACACCAGAGGCTGCAGACACACTGTGCCATACTTCTAAATATATTAAAGGATTTTAAGGACACATCTACCAGAGGTGTGCCTCAATCTAAGGAACAATTAAATAAAATGTTGTTATGACCCAGATCATGTGATACTTTTACTTTTAGCTGATACTTTTTATGTCCAAGTCACAATATGGGTTTTGTGACTTGGACTTCTAACAGGCTTCCTCAGTACAAGAGTAAAACAGTGAAAATGTGGCCCACAACAGCCCACAATGACTGCATTCAATCAGAATTTTAATAGAAGATATTTATGAACACTCTGAAAAACAAATGCAGCTTATATTGTGAAAAACCGAAAGCAACAATACTGATGGCACTTTCAGTGTTGGAGTTCTTAAACCTCATCAAAAAGAGTTTAGTATTGATCATTATTAGTTTTAGCAAGGGTAACTTTTTTTATCGAGATAAATAACAAAACGGCACAATAATTTACCATCCGTATTTATAAAAGGGAAAACATATAAAGAGCCCTTGCACTTTTACTGTAGATGCATTCATGGTTGCAGTATTTCTGAAGCTTCAGCAGCTCTACAGGAGAAATGAGCGCCAAACTTATAAAGTTTGTTGGGCTCAAATGTAAAACAGGACTGGGGGCCGAAAGGGACACAATTTCTGTTTAAAACATGTTTTTTAAGATGAAAGTCAACATTTAATATTTTGTGCACTTATTGTGAGCCTTTTAGAGCCAAAGGAGGATATTTCCCGAAAGCTACTGGCTACACATAATGCTCAAAATGGGAGCTGCTTAACCATCACTGATACTGACAATGCTTCTAACGGTTTATATGATTCTGCAAACCTGCATTTGTCTAAAGCCTGCAGGACCTCATTTATGCTTTATGGTCTGTGAACAAATCTGTTTTTGTTGGGTTAAAGGAGATAAAGCTAGCTTGGGGAGCAATATTAAGGGATAAGGCCAAAATGTAGAATGATATATGAAATAATTTGTAGTTTTTTTCGGTCAATAATCATTTAAATAAGACTGGATAAAAGCATCACAACCTCAACAAATATGTTGAAGACAATGGAGATAATAAAGTCAAAACTGCACCAAGTACAAAAGGTCTAAGGATATATTTTGAATTCCTGGGAGCTCTGTATGGGGGCAAAGGCCACTTTGAGCTGTATTAGCAGAGCAAGCACTTAAATGTCACAAGTAAAATGTAGTGATCTCTGACTTACCACACAGTTCAGAAGTACGGCTCTAGTGAAACTCAGTGTCATTAATGTTACAAATACTAGAGTACACAAACACAAAACACTTTGTTCACCCTGACTTGATCTCTGAGAAAACCACAACTCAGCTGCTCTCCATGAAAACACAACCAAACATGACAACAGAGAAAAAGAACTTAGCCCTTAGGTCAATACTGACTACTGAAAGGTGGCATTTAACGGCCGTTACTAAAAGCCAAAAATCTAGAAGAAAAAAAAATGAAGTACTTTGCAAACAAATTTTATCCCCTTAAACTTTTTCAAATTTTGCTGTGTTACAACCTTAAACTTCAGTTAACTTTTAATGCAACAAAACAAAGCAACGCATAATTGTGAAGAGAAAGTACACATGCCAAGACTGGACGTTTTCAAAATGTTTCTGTGTAAAATACTTCCAGCTCATTTAGACTAAATACGGGGCATCTATAAACATCGATCCTCTGATTCTTAAAGGGATTTAAGTAAAGACTGCTTCAAAATCACCAAGGGCCTCCCCACTTCTTCCATGAATTATACGGTCATTGTCTAACCTCCCAGTTTGGCTGGAAGGGCATGTCCGGGTTGGTGTTTTGGCTATGAGTCGCTGGATCATTTAGTGCTCTGTGAGGTGTTTAAAGCTTCAAATATTGCTTTTTAGCCCGATCTTTGAAATCTCTCCACAACCCTGACACATCCCTGCTTTGGCTTTTGTTATTCTGTACATTTCTGTCCTATTTAGGCAACTTCACGATCTCTCTATGTGTCACAGTGCTTTATTTAGGGGTATTAGAGTAAAGGAGACTGAAGAAAAATGTATGCCAGTCTTTGAAAACATTTTACCTATCATATATGTGCAACTCTGCAGCACATATATGTTAAAAATGCACAGAAGGGCATGGAATGAACATAATCTAAATTAGCTGTAGCGCCAAAGTAAACCAGCTTAATTGTTTTCTGTTCTACTGCCATTTTTGGCAATACAAGTCTAACCGATGTTTACCAAAGAGAAGGGCTCTTGTCTGATACCCCATCTGCTCTAGTGCTTTTATCACAGCCTACTGGTTGTTTTGAATAGGACAAAAGAAAGTGTAGGGGCTTTATGATACCATAGACAGCTAACAGCAACAGCTAGGGGAGGGATGGGGCAGCACTACGGTCCTTATAACAGTTGATGATGAAAATACCTTTTCCTATTCTTGCCATCTTACTGAATGGAATTTGAACCACAGGAGTTGTATGAAAGCTGGTCTTTCAAACCTCAAAGTAAGAAATCAGTCAAACCATAGAGCTCTGGGAAAGATTATCCATCACAAATTCAGACGCCTAACAATAACCCTCTTCCCTGCTCTAAATGTCTGTACAGTACCTTGGTGATGAGGATGCGGTAGTGTTCAAGCAGGTCATGGTTGTCATGGCACCCAGCCAGCAGCTGCCAGACTTCAGCTCTAAGTGGCTCAGGAATGCCACTGCGGACCAACGAGGGTAAACCCTTCGGACGAGTGGACAGGTTCCCGTGCCTGTTGCACAAAAACACAGACTGGACTTTATTATCCTGAAGTGCACCTGTACACTAAAACCTGGGTTTTTAGTTGGCTCTTCAGGTGAGATCAATCCGAGTTCATTTCTAAACGAGCAAGCATTGAACAGTACATTTTTATACAGCAAACAGCTATTGTTGATGTCCGAATCAAACTCAATGGATGAATTCAAGGCCTCAATAAAATACCCTGAATTTGACTGACAGTACCTAAAAAAAAAGAAACAGTTTAAACAATCCTTAACTTTGCAGGACTTTGCAAAGCTTGTCTCCGTTTCTTTTATGTGTTATGAGAATCAAATTCAAAATATAAAAATCAAATAAAAAAAAATAAAAAACATTTACCAGTTTAAACATTCAACATTGTGTGTTTCTATTGTATTAAACAAGTCAAACAGGAACTGCAGATAACTGTATTCTGCTTGTCTCTCATCTTTTTTAGTCTTTATCTACTTTATTGCTGTCTGTCAGTGGCAGTGCATGAAGCTGGGCTATTTTAAATGGCGTATTTTCCGGGCTATAAGCAGCTACTTTTTCCCATGTTTTCAACCATGCGGCTTATAAGAATGTGCAGCTTTTCTGTGGATTTTTCCTAACCGCCAGATGAGGAAGTCAAAGTTGGAAAATAAATTATAAGGAAACAAATGAAAATGCGAGCAGCAGGCATGACAAGTGAAAAAATTTCCCAAATTCACGTAATTTATCATTTATTTGCCACATTAACGCTCCCAAACTTATAAAGAGGCTGGGCTCAACTCCTGTAGAGCTGAGCTTCCTCTACAGGTTTGGTGGGAGACAGTTCAGTAGATATCGGCAGCTTATAGCCCACTGTGGCTTAAATGTGTACTTTTCAAGTTTTTCAAAAACATTTAGTGGGTGTGGCTTATAGTGAGGCGCGCTCTATAGTTCGGAATGTACGGTACTTTAAGCAGGACTAAGAAAGTGCTTCCTGGTGTAACTCAGAGCTGTTACCATCATGACGTTTTCAAAATACGCTCAGATATTCTTGCCTGCTTTGCAGGTGGTCATTTGGTCGTGAAGTACTCATTCAGTATCAGAGACTTTTTCCTGATCTGTTTCTTTTTATACCTTTTACTGTATTCTATTTAACCATCCTGTTATCTTCTGAAAGTCTTGATCTTATGCACCAAAATGAACACTAGAAATATCTCAAAATATAGAAGAAAAAAAAAACCACAGCTTCCTTTTAAACAGCTTCTTGCATCTCTTTACTTCCACAGGCCTAGTTAAAAAACTAAAGAGAGCTGTCTGTGCAACCTTGCAGAGCTTAGTAAAGTGCATTAAATGATCAGAGAAATACAGTGATCGAGCTTCAAGTGTCAGATTCTAGTAACAATTAAATTACTGAGCAAAACACTATGTGCTTTTATGAATATGGGGAAATGTGCTATTTCAAGAAATTTAATTAAAGGCTAAGATTGAAAGTGATATGATTTAGTCATAAATCCAATTATCAGTTTGTTTCCAAGCATTTAATCTGCTAATCAACATAATGATTCTCTAACCTTCACTCTTTGCTCCAGCTGTCAATACTCAAGAAAACTGTTCCTGTATGAATCAGTATTGCGTTTCTGCCATCACAGTGTCTAGATTTTGTCTCAGTTGATACCCTACCATCTGGTGAGGATTCCTCCCCAGGACTCCAGTATTTTCTCCGGACAATCTTTGGAAACATCTCCAGTTCCACTGGAGATTTCACTGTCACTGTCTGCAGGAAACAAATGTAAACACAGACAAACATCAATCAGTTTGATCACATGAATTTAAGTTACAGATAAAACTGTTATAAATAAAATGTACACATTTATTAGAGCCATCAACTAGTCTAAGTCCAAAGAATATGCTGTTCAGGGTTGTTAAGGCCTCACCACTTACAACAAGTCCGACAATTTCTGTTAACTACCAAAGCATCTCTACTCTTCATGAAAGTCAAGTGCAAATTTTGATATGAAAGTGGAAGTTTTATGGGAGGCATCACTCAAGTAAAAAAACTATTCATTTACAATTGCAAAATATATATGAGTTACTAAATAATAAATCAGTATAAACCTTTGTCTGATTCTTATTGAACATTTTAAAACCAGCTGGTATTGAACCCACACAGTTAATGGAGGCAGGAGTGCCTACACCTTCCATTATCACTGCTGGTGCATGAGGCAGACAAGAGGCAATCAGCACAGCCAACCACTTGTCTTCTAAAGGAGACCGTAAGGCTGCTTTACCGTATGATGCACAGGGACAAGTGCTGAAATGTTTTTTTACACTAGAAAAGCAGAATGACACAAAAGCACAAAAATACTCTTATGGCCGTCAATGGTGTCATTGCTTGGCCTTTTTAGATAAAAAAATAAATAAATGCATAATACTTAAATGAAAGTAGATGGATTAAAATTAGTCATAAGCAATATGTCGCACAAGCTTACATATCTAAAACGAACACTTAAACTTGGTCTAAAGGTGGAGAAAGGAGGTATATGTTCTCCGAAATAGTTTAACCTTGGTGCAGCGATAAAAACACAGATTTTAGAATACTGCCTCATATATTGTTTACTGTTCCAAATCCAAAACTATACGAAGATATTGAATTTAAGCTAAATAACTTAAGCCCTGAGTTGAATGTAATATAACTCTATAATCTCATAATAAGGAATAAATATATGTTCAGTGTTAAAAGAAAGGAAAACATAGCCTGATAAACCAGAATAAATGTGAGATTAAATGTGTAATTTAGTCTGGCCCTGATGAATGAGACATCGGAAAATTGTTGACGAGAACAACCCATTGTTTTTCAAACCATGTCTGTGCCTATTGGCCAACGCTCTGACCAATGAGCGCAACTGACTGTGATGTAATAAGCGCAACAGAAAGCTGGTAGGGAGTGTAAACAAACAAACTGTCGGTAAAACGCTGACTACGTCCTTCTTAAAAATGAATGAGAGTAGAGCCTCTTCCTGCTCACGTTTCAACGAAAACCCAAAGTCTAATCCTTCCAAAACTGATTCCAAAGCTGAGTCAAACGAGAACTGTTCAGTAGATGCTGCCATCTTTCTTGTGCGCTTTCTCAGGTGTCAGCAGCTTTGTCATGACGCCCTCAAAACCCCGCCCGCTTTGCATCCAGAAATTCAAGACACATCTCTGCATTGTGATTGTCCCGCCAGTTCTAGGGCCTGGGGCATTGATCGAGGCTAGACCACTCGCAGGCAAAAATAATTTTGGCTGCTGGTGGGTTACTAGGCTGAGGAAAACAGGTATTCTACTAAGACAAATTATTCAAAAGATGAAGAGCAATAAGTCAAATCTCTGCAGTTTCATCCGTCAGGGAATTCACCAGATCTGCTGTAAGACAGACCACTGCAGGAGATCCTTCCAGCATACTTCCATTAAAATCAAAGAAACCAGTATAATATGTGTAAAACAATCCAGTTTTCCAAAGGTATTAAAAAAAAATGTTTGAATTGAACATCCCACCAAAACAGCTTCTTCCCATCTGCATCTAGACTCATTAACAAAGTCCAGGTCCCCCAATCACAATCTCGTATTCCAAAAAAAAATAATTTAAAAAGATCCAATGGACTTTATTTCCAAGTGTGAAGACGTTTTGCTTCCTGTCCAGGAAGCTTTCTCAATTCCAAATGTCGGGAATAGCTTTGAGTTTGAGGTTTTAAAACCTCAAACGCAATGAAAAATATTAACAATGAATACCTTTTGGAGGTGCGTGCACATTATTGTACATGATCTAAAGCCTTGGATGTTAATTGCGTTAAGGATTCAGTCAACACAGGCACCCACCAACTGATACTGATACAAGGGGGGGATAATAGGGAATAATGGCCTAAAGTATCCACCAAGTACCTCCATCAATAGTGTGTAAATTAAATGCATGTTTAACAATGTACGGCTCTTTACAAACTAAGCAGAGGCACAACTTAAAAAAAAAACTGTCATTAAAGCTTTACTTGATCCATTTTTAATTTAAATAAAAATTGTAATTCAACGTAAAACCTGACCTTAATCTGACCTTAATTTGTTCCATTGCAGCGTCAGTGCATTTGAAAATATGATTAAATACAGCTACAATGTGCCATTATTTATGCACAATCATGTAGGGCTAATGAGGTTTTCAAATAGTTGATTTTAAAATGAGCAAGCTGTATTTTTTAAGGGCGTTATTTGCGTTTGATGGGCTGTGATTAAATTAAGCAAAAGAATGGATTGATTTTTTAATCATCTGATAAAGTTCAAAGTGTATATTGTCATCTTTAAATCATCTGAAACTATAAATCTGCCTTTTCTGACTGCCTTTTCATATAGTGAGGTATTTAAGTAACATGCGGTCATAAGCTCTTTGGCTGTACTGGTGCACAATCAGAAAAAAAAAGGTCACACAAACACGAAAGCAACATAATTACACCAAATATGTTAAAGGGGCAAAACGTAGGCCTTCAGAGATTTAAATTATATAAACCAGACTCCAACCTTTCTGAGAATTTAAAGGCCTAGTTCATTCCTTCTTAATACTCTTTCTCAAGCCTTGACATTTCAAAATGAGTAAAAGCATGTGGCTATGCTGAATGTGCTGCGACTCCAACATCCTCACAGCCTCAGCAGGAGCTTTTCAGGTCTTTATAAATGCTTGATGAAGCTTTTCAAATGTTTCAGAACCAGCACATAAAGCTCCTGCCTTAGTCCTCAGATTTGTTGGAGCCACGTGGCAAGATAGCATGAGTCCAAAGCTCCTGCCAACTTACCAGGTGATGAAAGGAATTGGGGAGACAAGGACCATTACTATTAGCTTTTAATACGAGGAGGGACAGGCACATTCAGCAAAGGATTAAAAGGGGATCTGGGTGAGGATGGAGTCACAAATATACTGGGGTTGTTAAAGCAAGCAAGAATTTCTTTTTAATGCATGATAAATAAACGGTTACTGTAAAGGACTTAGACTGCACATCTAATTATATTTGTCCCAAAAAAAGAAGGGAAAAAAAGAAAAAAGAAACAATTTCCTATTCCCATTTCAAATGAAAAGAAAAACTGAACAAGAATCACTTGTAAATGTGTTTACCCAGCTGTGGCATAGTTGGGCAGTGCGTTCATTACTATTACAATAAGAGTGACCGTCGGCCCCATAGCCCTGAACGCTTCCAATCTTCAGCTGAGGCAGAGGGGGGGTCGCCCACAGAGTCGGCTGAAAGGACTCAGACACAGCCGTGGAGAATGCCTCATGAATTTTCGGTAAATCGACAGATAGGCACAAAAAAAGACACATTTTCCCTCCAATCTTGTAAATGCTTTTCACTGATTCAAGGTGAAAAAAGCAGGAGACCGTTTCCAGCAGCAACAGGCAAACAGAACTCCAGGTTGAGAGGACTGTGAATAGAATTAATTAGAAATTACTACTAGAAATTAAAGAAAATTATACTTGAATAGTGCTGATGTACATTAGATTTATGCACTTCTGCTTTAAAAACTTTAAATTTAAAGGCAAACTTATATCATCTGGTTGGTAAATATAGTCCATCTGTGAAAGTAGGTCTTCTGGTGTCAGTGGTCTGAAGAAATCGTTGAAGAACATACCACAGCACGCATGTCACAAATAGAGTAGAGGAAAAGTTTGAAACTTGCACCCCTAATGTAATTTTAAACTTATGTTTAAAATAACATCCCCAGCTTTGGGATAATCTTTAGTCATCTGAAAATGTAAGAAGTGACTGTATGACACAGCTGCAAATTTATCCAAAAAGTGTAAATCGCGCTAAACTAAGCTCTGTAAGAAGAGCTTTAATCTGAGAAGCAGCCAAAAGGCCCTTGGTAACTCTGCAGGAGCTGAAGACGGCTCACTGCGAGGAGCTGCCAACAGGTCAAGTTTTATTTGTTAAGTTCAGGCATTTAAAAAAAAAATTAAATAAAAAAACAAAAAAATAAAAATAAAAAAACTTTATTGATCTCACAAAGGAGAATATACCTCTGCACCTCCCTTTGGGGAGCAGTGGGCTGCCATTGTGCGGCACCCGGGGAGCAGTGTGGAGTTAAGGGTCTTGCTCAGGGACCCAGAGAGCAAGCAGGTACTTCCAACCCCCTTAGAGCACAAGCGCACTGCTCTAACCCTCTAGGCCAACACTCCCTCCAATGGGAGTGTCTCCAATTGTTCAATTGTTCCATGCAATGTGAAGCCCTCTAGGTAATTTGCAAAGTGCTAAGTGACCAGGCTAATGTGCAAGAAGATTGTCTGGTTAAAATGACATCTATATTCTGATGTCTCGCTAATGAGAAATCCTGTGTGAGGCAGAACATGGGGGTGGCAGAGTTAGAAGAGAAATGTGAGGAGAAGAGGAAGCAAAAGGCTTCAGTCTGGGTGTCAGGTAAGGCTTCTAGTAAAAAAACAACCAAACCTGAGAGCTACGAGGGAATGTTTTGGATCAAAGCATGTTCACTCAAAGCTCTGAATATAAACAATCCCAGAATCTTCAGCGATACTTGCAAGCTGCTTTTTGATCCAAACTACAAGAGCTTAAGCTTTTTTCACAAAAATACAATGACATACTCTTTAGTCTTAAAGGGGAACGTCGTTTTTTTTTTTCTTTTTTACATTGGGCCCTTGATTTTGCGTTATTACATCATGTTCTACTCACACATATGAGTTTTGTGTCATTTGGAGCTGTTCTGAAGATATTCGGTACACACTCCACTTTGTTTAAAAAATATATAAATATAAAAATATATAACTACGGATGTCTTGGGGACAGTGATTCGCCTACATGTTATAAATGCTGGCGTACCATACAGAATAAATTATGAAAAGTTTTGTTTGTGCCTTGAACTCATTGTCCAAAGGAAGACGTTACTTGGATATAACCTAACCTTGGTTGTACTTTAGGAGAACATACAATATTGCAAAGGCTTTCATAAAGTATATTTAGAAAATGCACTTGAGACATTTATTTGTAAATAAATGTGTAAATATCATTTGATTTTTCCCTCCATTTATCAAATATTCTCCAACTCGGTTTGGTCTATCACATCAAACGTAATTAAAACTTAAGGTTGAATACTTGCAATCTTTTGCATTGACCTGAGCATCATTTCTATCTGTTGCTTGGGGAAAAACATCCTGTCCTTGGTAAAGCTCAGTGGAAATGTCCTCTATGGATTTACAAGATTATGCTCAAATATTTGTGTACACGCACGATTGCTAAATTAAACAGCTCATTGATAACCAGTGTTACCTTTTAGTGTGTCTGAATGATAACCCTGAGACAAGGTGCCTGAAAATGGGTCACATTTGGGCGCCTCTAGAGTCTATCTGGTCATATCGCTGCTTAATTCCTTCGGCAAAGACGCTTGTTATAAGAAGGAAAATGTTCAGTCTGGTAAATGGGTCAAGTTTTGAGATTCAGTGACTTTCTCAGGAGAAAAAGTTGATGGATCACTTTGTCCAGATGAGGCTGATTTGTGTCATTTCATGTCAAAACTGTAAAGAAAAAAGCTTATCGTAAAAATTCAAAAAATATCCACTGGACTTGGTTTTCAAGATTTGAAGACGTTTCGCCACCTCTCCAGGAAGCTTTCTCAACTCAAATGTCTGGATCCGCAACATTTGAATTGAGAAAGCTTCCTGGAGAGGTGGCGAAACGTCTTCAAATCTTGAAAACCAAGTCCAGTGGATATTTTTTAAATTTTTACGGAAAGACTATGACCTGGATGACTGAGAACCTTCATCAGCAAAAAAGCTTACCGTATGTTGAATATATAAGGATTATTTAGCGAACCGATTAATCTGTCACTTATTTTTCCGATTATTCAATTAATAATTGGATAGCAAAAGGTTCCTCAAAATAGAGTTTTCATGAAATTAAACCTAAGGTTGTGGATAGAGGAAATTGACAGACAAAAAAGTTTGTTTTTTTAATCTTAAATGCAAAATGTATATATATATATATATATTTTTTTTTTTAAATGTTGGTATAATAAATGCTTTAAGTGGGTTGTTCTGTCAGCTAAAAGCATATTTCACAGTCTCTATACTCCACTTAATGACATATAATCAATTACTAAATTAGTTGACGTTTATTTCAATAATCAATTAATCATGATTAATTGTTTCAGCTCTAAAGGCAGCCCCTCTGAAATTGTCTTTAAATTCATGTTTCATCATTTTTAGAACAAAAATAAATAAATTAGAGCTCAATCAGACCTCTTTTCAACTATAGTTTTAAGATTTTACACAACAGGTAAATTCTCAAGCAGCAAAACCTACCAACAGGTGAGTCCCTGATTGGTCTAAAAGAGATAAGAGTGATGAAAGCAAGGCATGCTAACGTTGGCTCCCTTTAAGTATTAACGTCAATTCATAAGGATGAAAAAAATTGTGCTGGTAAAGCTCCCTGTAGTGGATTTTCCCGGTTTAACCAACGAGCCCACATGAAGTCAAATACATTTTTTTTGTGTGTGTGGTTTGCTTAATATTTGTTTTTACATGTTTGCAGAGTACGTATAGATCTAGAAATTATAGCCCATAATTGTTCATATCTGTGGCAGATTTAGTTAGAAGATTATTTCCTTTTGAACCAAGATGGTTATTTCTGATTGAGAATTAATCTGCTCCTATTAGGTGTATAATTTGCAAAAAAGAAAATATTAATTTTTTTTATCTACATTTTTTTAACTAAATTTATATCTACATTTAAATAAATATCTGAAATAAATTGAAACATGTTTTGGCATTAAAGCCAATAAATGCTGATTACAATTGCTTTTTGCATGTTTCTGCAGCACAAATTCCCATAAAAGATTAAATTTAGGACTCTGGCTGCTTCTCTCAAAAATATATTCTTACTTTCAGTCAAATTTAAATATTATTATAAATGATTTGGGGCTTTACTTAAATGTAGAAGGGAAAAAAATAGCAATAAGGCTTTCGATTCTATAATATCACTGAAATTCAACAGCAACATTAACAAATGGCTGTGGTGTCCTTGACTGAAGGAGCCTGTTTACTCCGTCCAAACAGCAGCGTACAAAACTAAGGCCCTTTGATGTTGTCGACACTGCAGTGTTGCAGGCCTTAACAGGATTGAGCCGGGCTCCGCTCGACACATGCACACGTTCACAAGCGTGCATATTAACACAAACATCTATCCTTTCTTTACCCCCACTCCCTTCACCCCAGAGACTGGGCCTGCAGCTCACTGCTGTGGACAAAGCAACACATCCACAGCCGGCATCAACAATGTCAGAAGCATGAATGCATACGCACGCTTCATCACCACTGTTTACTTGCCCAACAGAGTTTAGCTTTACTGTTGATGAATCTCTGTCAGTGAAGTGTACACAAGGGTTTGAGCCAAAGCCTTTGCTGCAGGAGGACAGAGATTGAAGGTGCTTGTAACCCTCTATAGAGATCTAAAACTTGCAAAATGATATACAACTAAAAGAAAAAAATAAATGAAACTTTGACTCTACATCTTGGTGAATCACTATTCTTTTGTTGTGCCTCAGAATGTAACCATTCTTTCTCCTCCCCACTGAAGGACAACAGTTTTGTTGAAAGAGTGCTGCTATGTGCACGCAATTTTCAATCTCACTATGAAGGACACATTATTGTGAAGCAATGCCTGTTTATTTAAAAGGATGACTTTGTGCCACCAAGGATAAAAACCCAAAAAAAAAAAAAGAAAATAAGGAAAATTCCCTTATTTATATTGCCTTTATATTGATATTCCCTTATTATTTCAAAAGAGCATACCTTCATCGACATCTTCTTCCTCATTTTGGGAGGTGACCCGCTCTCTTTCCTCGCTTTTTCTCTCTGCCTCCCTCTGAAGGCTCACCACTTCATACACAGCATCACTCTGACTCACTCTGTCAGGGGCCTGCTGTACAGACAAACAGAAAATCACAGATTCTTAATCGTCAATTAACCTTTTTTGACAAAGAATGGCTGAAGTTATTTAAGATTTTAAGTTAAAGACTTTAAAAAGACTCCTGGAATAAGTCTAAAAGCTAACAAACAACTGAAGGAGTCCAACAGTTTTATAGGCGTTTGAAAAGCTTGAAAATAAATTATATCTTAATGCAATGATCTTACTCAGGAAAAAATATCGTATTCCTACTGGGGGACACAAAAAAAAAAGAGAAAAAACATTTGGGGAAAAATAAAGAAAACAAAAACAACATCAGAAAATAATTGTATGTTTTAAAAAATGTAAAAGCAAGATGGTTAAGATTATAGGGCAATATGGAGAGGATGGAGGACATGAAGATGCTTAACAGCAAAAACCAAAACCATGAGCTTGAAATAAACTAAGCCTCATGAATTTGTTTAAGTGTATTTGTTTTATGGGCTGGTCTTTAAATAAATGTATACCAAAAGTAAAGGGGGAAAAAGAAATTACACCTAACACTAAATCGGCTAGGTTTAATTATTAAGTTGCCATCATACGAATAATCTTACACAACATGTTCTTCTCTCAAAATAGATCATCTTGCTCCTACAGGGTTCTTAAATACGTCTTAAAGACAATAGAGAAATGTGCAAGGGAGCAAAGATACCATCAGACTTGACCTTCTGTGTCACAGGCAGCTGATGTTTATTTCTAGTCTATTCAATTATTTTGGTGCTGGGGCCCATCTCCTCCACCTAGAAAGAAAAATGGATCAATGGGCTGCATTGATCTGCCCACTCTCATGGCATCTAATGACTAACTCAAGTCGGAGCTGAGAACTCAAAATAGCCGAGGATATCCAGCCCGGCCTATTTCTGGAAAAATAATCTGTAGAGGCATGAGGAAATAATCTGCTTCGGTTTGCTATGGCCTCCTCAAGAGAGTGCTGAACCACATACCGTATGTTATTTAGACCAATATAAAGCAAAACATATGTGAACAAAAATAAGTAGGGATGCACGATATAATCGGCCCCCTATCGGTATCGGCCTGTATCGGCCTTAAAAGTGAATATCGGACATCGGCCACCCCACCGATATTTAACCCCAAATTTGATAAGCTTCTGAGTTTCTAAAGTCTAAAAAAAAAAAAAATAAATACTACTTCTTCTTCCTCATAAACTTCTTTTTTACAGACTTAAAAACTTCTAAAGATGAGGGAAAAAATATTGATAAATTAAAATATCACAATATCTTCATATGCTGATATATTGCCATTTAAAAACACCATATCAATCTCTTTTACTAATGATATATTGCTATATGTCATCGTTATGCTACGAAATCCCCCGAAAATTCACGAAATTTTGCCCTATTTTTATGTTGATATATTGACGCGGTATCGATCTATTTTACTAACAAAATCTCACAAGAATTTGCAAAATATCACGAGAGTTTGTAACAGAACGATGAAATTTCACGAGATTTTGAAAGAAAAATAGATCGATACCGCGTTTTTAAAAATCAATTTGATATCAGCATATGAAATGATATTTGAGTATATTATTTTTCAAAGTGTCAGAAATGGATAATAAAACTGCTATTTTCAATGACTACTTATTTTTGTCCAGCTTTAACATCGGTATCGGTTATCGGCTACATGAGTTTTAAAATATCGGAATATCGGATATCGGCCAAAATCCCAATATCGTGCATCCCTGAGAATAAGTGTTTCCTAGACATAGCCTATATGACAGATTTTGAAGCAGACTTGTGCAAAATGATCAATGTATATATCATGGTTTTAGGTCAGTTTAAGATTTATCTTTAAGGTTTCATTTCCATTTTGTGTTTTTCTAGTTATTTTTGATTGTATTTGAGTTCTTAGTTATTTTTTGTTTGCCCTCTGTTGCCCCAGTCTCCTTTCCCTTCCTCTTTTCCAGACTCCTCTGTTCACACCTGCTACCAATCTCCTGATTAGCCTGGTCTTTGTTTCTCTCTCCCATTTATGGACCTCCTGCTCAGTCGCTGTTGCTAGTTTGGTGTTGTTTCTTTGCCCACTTGTTGTAAAAATATTCCTGGTTCTCAGTTTTAGTGGATTTTGTGGATTTCTGTTTTTGATTTTTGCTTCTGTTACCCTTTTTGTTGTTAAATCTGCAAGTAACCACCTTCAGCTTCAGTGTCTGCATTTGGGTCCTGTCAAACCTGCACCCAACTTGACAGCATAAAGATGGTCAATACAGGATTCCTGATAAACATTATTGCTCAAATTAAATTGGTGCAAAGCTTCATCATTCACATGGACTAAAAGAGCTCCACACTCTTTCTCAACACAATATTATAGCTTTAGAAGACATGTTGGTGGCTTTTTTAGTCAAACAAATGAAAATTGTTTGACAATTATTGATGACAATTGGATTGAAAAAAAATATTTTTAAAGTTAAAGTGATGAGCAATTTCAGCAATTTATTTTGCTTTTTTTTTACCTAATTTCCCAAAACGTTTCCATGATATCTGTTTTACAATCAAAAAAGGCTTCTAAAATATATAGTAATTCGTTTAATTTAAAAATTAAAAAATATGATAAAACCACATATTTACAAGGTGACATCAGCACCAAGTCAGGTGCTCTACATTACATATATTAAGATAAGTGCTTTTTGTCGCATTAAATTATTGATTACAAAACAGCTCACATTGGAAGGCAATTGGACTTTTGCTCAGTTTCTCTGTAAACATTTTCCCTTCCAATTTAAGCCTGTTTTGTGGCTGTGAATTTACACAATATAATAAATTTATTTATTAGATCAACAGCAAAAATCTGCATTGTGTTGTATTATACCTGCAGTGCTGTTTGTAGCAGCAGCATAAAAGGGATCATCACACTTATAAAGCAAAGGGTTGCAACATTACCAATAAAAAATATAACTCCTGGCTACAATGCAGCTAAAAAAATGTATCACTGTCATTGCAGCACAGGTCCAGTTGAATGCTAACTGACATAGCATCAGGTGCAGACAGCATGTGAAGGCGATTGGTGGAGACTTGGCTTACATCTCTCTGCAAAACATGAACTAATAGGACCACCAAGGCAAGTGAGTGTGAAAAACGGTGAAAAAGACTGCATATCTCCAGCTGTCAATGGGTGAGAGGCGGGTACATACTGGACAGGTCGCCAGTCTATCGTAGGGTGACACCAAGACAAACAGGAAAAACTCACACACACACTCACACCTAAGGAGAATTTAGAGAAGCCAATTTACCTAACAGTCATGTTTTGGACTGTGGGAGGAAGCCTGAGTACCCAGAGAGAATCCATGCATGCACAGGGAGAACATGCGAACTCCATGCTGAAAGACCGCAGGCTGGGAATCAAACTCAGAACCTTCTAGCTGCAAGGCAGCAGTGCTACCCACTGTGCAGCCTATGAACCATTTATTTCCAATTTATGTGGGACTGCATTGCACTTTTCAGTTCTGTTCTAGTGTCCCACATGTTGAAATAATGTCCGCATTAGACTAAAATCAAACTATGAAAATGTATTTAAAAAAAAAAAAAAAAGGCATACATATACATACACATATACACAAAAGCTGTCAAATTACAAAGCAGCGCCCCACGCCATGACCAACCTGCACATGATGGTCTTGAAAATAAAACGTATCGGGTACAGGATATTAGTAAATACTGACAAATAAAATACAATTGAAGCAAAGTTTAAAGAAAAACAATGGAGTCACAACAAAGACAGTAAAATTATTTTTAATTGGGTAAAGCAGGAAATGATGATTCTCAAGAAAGCGTTTATTATTTTTCCAATTTTATACAAAGGGGAGTTCAAAAATCCACATGAATCCTAAATTGTCCCTCAGCAGCCTCCATATTGTTCAACATTTGTTTTTTCATCTCAAAGAGGAGAACTATTTTACTTTATCCGTGTCCTGAGCTCATGGGTAAACTACACTGTTTATCAGAGATTTCCCCTTTCGGTACTTAGACCAGAAATTGGTCCGATGTCAACCAAAAAGTGAATATTGGAATGTATCGGCCTGTATCTAAACTCTCCAATATAAGCATACTGACTGGAACACTCAGCTTCTTCTTGTTCTCTGTTTCAGTTCATGCCAATATTACAGTCAATATTCAAAATCGCAATATTAATATCGTATCGAAAAAAAAGCTGTGTATAAGGAATCACTACTGTTTATTTAAAAGGTTTTATTCATTGTTTATGTCCATGTCACCCCACCTTCTACCTATTCACTATATGTTTCCAAACAGGGTGAACCTGGCAGGATTACTTTGCAATTCAGGGATTTTAGTTTGCATTTCCCCCCCAAGCGGATATGTTTTACTCTGCCACCGATTAACCCTTCTTGTCAGACTCGTCACATTGCTGCGTAGGTCTGGTCAAACCAGACAAGAGGTCTACTTGTGACAGACCAATGTAATAACAGCTGCAGAGATGATGATGGTGATGATCAGTGGTCTGATTATTCTCAATGGGATTTAAGTGCAATGATCTCATAAGATTCCATTACCTGTCAGATCGGACGCTAAATCCCGTCCAGTGTGTTTAGGCCTGAAGTAACTAATCAAAAGAAGGATGCTGAGGCTTCTTAGATATTGATATCTGTTTTTGGAAACCCTGTAACATGATATGCTCTGGAACTGGGAAGAAAACATGGCCTACATGCTGCACAGAAGTAGTTCCCAAACTGCACTTCTATGTTTGAAGGAAATGAACTTGACCGAGACATTGCTGACATAGAGGAAAAATTGTTTATAGAATGTTACTTTTATAAAGGGTGAAAAAGAGAAGATTTTTTTTTATTTTTTTTTGAAAGCGTACTTATTGCTCCTTAAATGTGCAATAAGTTAAGCAGAAAAGAATATCAAAATATCTTAGCCAGAAATAGTACCTGGACTCAATCTCCCTGGATGAGAGGATAAACCATATTAACCAGTTTGAGTTTTAAGGATCACAAAGAT